TGACATCGATTTTCTCATACGCCGCGAAAGTGTCCCAAAATTTTTTGTCCATAAGATTAGCCGTCAAATAAATACCCGCGTTATTGACCAATACATCCAATTTGGTGAACGTCTTGATTGTCTCATTCAATAGTTTTTCCAATTCATCCGTTTTTGTGAGGTCTGCCGCCAGTCCTAATGGCTATTGATATCTAGTTTTAATAAATTGTTTAGTTTTTTTTTAAAAGTGTATTTACTTTAAGCTTTTGTGGCGATAAGTCTTGAGCCTCTTTGACCACTCGTTGTATGTCCGCATCCTTTCTACCGGTGACCACAACACTGGCCCCCAATGCCGAGAATAGTTTCACGATTTGTTCGCCGATTCCAGAGCTACTTCCGGTCACCAAAACTACTTTTCCCGTGAAATTTCGTGAACCCCTCACCTCGTCGTAGATATCATTGGATTGAAATGCGAATACGTTTGTAATAGCAATGAATGCTAATAAATATATGGCAAACATTATGTTTAGTTATTTTTGGCAAATATAATTTTATATAACTGCTACCTAATAAATAATAGAGTAATGCATTAATTATGTGATCTTATATACTAGCGTTTGGTATAGTTTTGGTCCAATCCCAAATACAATGTGATAATTCCACATAAAACCATAACATACCTGAGCATTTGATACTTTGAACACATAAATTATTTTAAAATTCAAAAACAATAAGAGATGATAAATGGTGCAATGATAAATTATACATTTTTAGTACACATGAAAAGTAAAATCATGTTATAATCTTATCTTTGCAATAAAGTGTGAGAAATCCGACACATTTAATGGATACAAATATTTTAAGATCTGAAATTCAAGACTTAATAGATAAGGTGCATAATTAAATATACTTTAATGTGTAATAATAAAACAGTTTCAATATAAATAGTATCATAATACAGTAGTTTAAAATAGTAATCTTATGTAAAACATATAAATTTTAATAAGATTGACTTTGGTTATAACTTATAAGCACTAAAAATACACACAAAAAATATAATTTCTGATTTTATTCTATAATTTAAAACTTATGAGAATATATCCATAAAGTTGCCTGGTTCAGTATAGCCAAAGCCACCGTCAATGACAATATTAGCGCCGGTTATAAACTGGGCATCACTTGAGGCCAGGAATGCCACCCCTTTGGCCACAACGGCTGTCCCAATCTCTCCAGTGGTGTCAGAGTTGTTATCTTATGAACCATTTTCTTAATCAGATCTACGCTTAGATCCATTGATGGCACTTGAGTTGCACCGGGACTGGAGTTTACGTGAATAATGTTTTAATAATTTTATATTAGATAAAATTTTTAAGAAAAACTCATTCAAACAAGTTTTCAAAATAGTTTATCCATTACTTAATAGTATTGACACGAATCCCTTGCGGACGACCCAATTCAAGGGCCAATACCTTTGTCAACATATCGAGGACTGCTTTCGCGGAACTGTACGCCAAAAACGGATTGGACTGTATTTTGATTGAATTGTTTTAATAAATTATTTAGTTTTGTGTCAATCATTGCCGGATGTAAAGCAGCGATACTTGAAATGTTAATAATAGTGCCGTTAGTTTTGGTCATAAATGGGAGCGAGAGGTGAATGGTGTGGACAATGGCTCGCAGATCAGTATTGAACACCTGATCAAAGACTTTCGTTAAGTTTGTGGCACTTATGGGAGACATGGGGTAAATGCCGGCGTTGTTCACCAATACATCCAGTTTGCCAAACGTGTCAATAGTTTTGTTCATAAGAGTATTCAAGTCATCACTTTTGGTGAGATCTGCCACCACTTGTAACGGCTATACAATTAAGACAATTAATTTAAATGACAATTAATTATACTCTAAAATAATACCTTCAGTCCATAGGGAGATAGTCGTTGTACTTCTTGAGCCACTTTCTCAATCTGTGTTTCATTCCCGTAGACACTGAAATTCCCGTGAAAACTGCAACATTGTGCCACGGGGTGCATGGCACCTCATAATGGGTGCCACGGGGTGACAATTTTATAAAATGCCACGCTTGGCGCCATGCATGGCATGCCACACATGGCATTTCAGTGTCTCCCTTTCATTCCTACCGGTGACCACCACTTTGGCACCTAATATGGAGAATAGTTCGACAATACCCTCACCGATACTAGTGCTCGATCCGGTACACTAAAACTACATTTCCCGTGAAGTTACGTGAGTTTTTCACGTTTTCGTAGTCTTTTACATCGAAATCATTTGTATTATTATTATCTGCATTTACTATAGAGAGTAATACTAACAAAAGTATTGACTTCATTTTTAATATTAGTTAATGTTAGAGTAGAAATAATTTTATTATACAACAATTTTTGTAGACATTCAGCATTGATTCATTGAAACAAATGTTATTTTCTCACAACTGCTAAAATCCAATAGAGATATAAATAATATTATTGTACTTTTAATATTAGAAATAAATAAACATTTATTATACGATATACAGTATCAGAACAAGATTTAATTATTTTTAAAAGTAATGTTACCATAATTTTTAAAGTTAAACAAATTAAACAAATTATTTAAATACAATTTTACATGTATAATTTTTTAAAATACTATGCCATATACATCTATAGTATTAGTTTCCTTTTTAATCTAGCAAATATTTTCATTTCATTTCTTACTTACATAAAGATATTTAATGCGATAAACTTTAGATTTTATAATATAAGTTGCATAATATCACCTGGTATATTATACTCTAGGCCACCATCTATGACCAGATTGCACCAGTAATATACTGGGCATCAGTTGAGGCCAGAAATGCCACCCCTTTGGATTGGACTGAGAATGTATTGAATGTAATGTCAAACGAAAGACAATTTGTAATCGACACGTGTTTTACAAAAGTGTGTCACAAATGAATCAAACCATGAACATTTTATGATATATTTATTCCAATGGCTCATTTCACTTATTCGGGCAAAAATACAAAACATGATAATTTCAAAAGCTTGTGCATTCGTTTACAAACTTATGACATTTGTATATTAGTTGAGGTATTTATATTTGATTACTCTAAAATAGAAACGATCCGTTGGTATAAAGTTATTAAGGTACATTATACATTAACGAATATTTCAATATAATATATTTTAACATTATTATTTATTACATCTGTAAAATTAACTGTTTTATTATAAACATTAATAATATGAATAATAATAATACCTGAATATACTCAAATAATATGACTAAAGTGTAGACAATAGTATATATTGGCTTAAAACAAATTAACATTAATTCTTACAAACAGTAATTTTTAATCGAAATAAATTTTACATCAAACAAAAACTTGTACAAGATTATTTTGATTTTTTTGTATTATTTGTCACAATCAAACGATAATAAAATTTGTCTTTACAAATAAATTACAATTTTTATATTATTATATTTTTACATAATTTACTAGTATTATATAATTTTTAAAATAAACCACACAAAGTAGATGATACTTATATCACCTCAATCGACACCAATTTAGGACATATTTTAATAATCTTGTCCAGATCATTTTGTGTATAATCTACTTTTACTCCATTTTCACAGCACAATTTAAACTTAATACACAACTCTACATACAATTTAATAAACTTAATATACTTGAATTTAATATAATAATTTGAAATCGCTTTTAAGTAATTTCTAAGTATTGAAGTCGTAAGTATTGGAGGTTTGGGGACGAGTTGACAATAACGGCCACCAATGGCTTAAAAGACTTGAAATCAAGTGTTAAATGTGTTATACGTTTCCATTGTTGGCGACAAATCCATAGTAATTGTGTGAAAACAATGTCTTCACCAAACTCTCCGCTAATCTCCAAACGTGTCACTCGTTTATAGTTATCGTGAATGCATTGTATGATTTGTTGAGAAGTATGATTTGATTCATGCGAAAGGGACAGGCGTTTCACATATTGTGAATTAAGTCCAATTTGTGTCAAACACGTGATTACTTCCGGACCTATTGTAGTTAATTTAATACACAGTTCCCGTAATGATTGCATTTGTGATAAGCCTGGTTAAATCAGATTGTAAGTATAGTAGTAATGATAAAACTAATAGTATTTTATTTTAATACAAAAACAAACCATTAAGCATTGTGTCTGACGACAATCCGTCATATGCATCTAAATGGTCCAGCTCAATTGATTTGATATGTTTGTAGTTTGTGAAAAATATATCATATTGTTGGTCATAGTAAAAGGTATACCTAATGACAACTTTATGTAGTTTCGGGTATATTATCGTTGGGTTTGACAGTGCCGTCCAATACGAGTCGTAAGTAATATTAAAATGTCTGATATTATGACACAATTTAATGTGTTTATCGATTGCTGTGTCGACCAGTGGTTTGAAATTACCAAATATTTCAATGACTTTCATTTGTTTAGAATATTTTGCAAAAAACTTTTTAATAACTCTTACAGTGATATCGCTTTCAAACAAAATGTTAATTGAGTTTAATGACAGCAATATTTGATAATCAATTCAAACATATCGTTTGTAATCAACTCATTCCTGCACTTAATTTCCATAATATTGGGAAACTTGTTAAGCATTGATTCAAATGTTGATAAATCATTGAAACTAATATTGAGTTTACGGTATAATTTGCGGCTAATTGTAAGCCGTGTTTGTGAGGCGTATATCAATCGTTGCCATTGAGTGGACACACATTCATAACACCCTCTCTTTGAATGATAGGTAACTCAATATGTATGACACATATCATCACCAAATCTGTCCAACGAGTCTTTGCTATAAATCATAGCCATTATTATATTAATGATAATAGTCTGACACAAATGAAAATATTAATTTAATTTAGACGCAACTTATAGCACATTTTGAATGCCTATTACTCGTTTCTGTCCAAAGAGTCTTTGCTATAAATCATAGCCATTATTATATTAATGATAATAGTCTGACACAAATGAAAATATTAATTTAATTTAGACGCAACTTATAGCACATTTTGAATGCCTATTACTCGTTTGTCTTGGACTTATTATATTAGCCATATTTTTATAACCGGATGCAATAAATACTGAACTTATTGTATTTCCCTATAAGTCAAAGTATACTTTATTATCGGAAAATGTTTAATTGAAATAAGAGGGTAGGGTATGTTTAGTGAATATTTGTCATTTTATGAGTATATCCCTCTATTAGAAATATTCCGACTCATATTAATAAGCATTACAATATAAGTAACTTGATCCTTTTTAAATACTTCTATAGTGTTATAATGTTAAGCCATAAATAGATTAAAATTAATAAAGCCTATATTTAAAATGTCATTAATAATAATTTTTTCTTAAACCTAATATTGTATATTATTTTATTTAACTAGTAGTATATAATACTCTTTAAAAACAGTAATTTTTTTTGAAATAAGTATTAATACAAACAAGTTATATTAAATTAATTACTGGAAAGTTTTGTTAACAAGAAATATTTTTTATACAATTATTTAATACCGGATTTGTTATATATTTAATTAAGACTCTACATAATTATTTTGATAATTATTCATATATTCGAGGTATTACCGAAATTATTTTTATATAAGACTTTCAATTGATTTTTAATAAATGCTTAAATTATGAAAAACTTATTTTCCGGCAACGGAACGGACTAAGGGTTAACAGTATTACAGTTATATTTTTGAAAATAAATTATACAGTATTATCATTGGACAAATAATGATTAAACAAAATATTTTCTATAATCCATAATTTTATTTAAAATTACTAACTAATTTTTAAAATATTTTAATAATTTGATATAAAGTAAACCCATGATGGAGATAATCTATTGGAATAAATATCAAAAACGTTTCATGAGTTTATAAGTAAATTATCATAAATTATAACCAAGCACATACTTTGTATCCCTGGAATGTATTAATACGAAATGATTTCCAACAATAAAATGCATCCCTTTTCTGACCCAACCTTTCCATCAGTGATACTAACTATTGGTTTCAATAAATATATAAATTATTTAAAATATATTTATTTATGAGTTATTTTACTTTTAATTTCTGATGAAATGAATACCGATTAGAAATATATCTCGAGTTTAATAAAGCATACGATTTAATAAAATGATGAATAATGTACAATAAATAACAAGGTCATATATAGTTCAAGGAAAACAAATATTATTATAATTTGAAAACTATAATGTAGTTGCTATGGTTTGTTGATTGTTAAAAATGCAAACGAGCTTACTTGTTAGTTTAAAACTAATTAATATCCAATAAATTGCCAAAAACTTTGACCAATAAATCTTATTATAATTATTAATTTCCATATATGATTGAAATTAACAATAATTTAAAAAATATTTTTGTTTAATCTTTGTTTGAAAACTTCTAATTTATTGTTTATTTCCTGAACCTTTAATGATAAATAATATACAATTATAGTATAATAGCACAATTGCCAAAGTATTATACTATTTGCATAATTTGTTGTAATTGTCCATAGGATTGAATGTGGAAATGCTATAAATATTATCTCATAAATTGATAAATCAAGAGAAAATGTTATAAATAAACCAATGAATGCAAAATATGAAAAATATTTATTTATTTTTTCCGAAAATGTTAATAATTTTCGTGAAACGTTAAAAATTTATAGACAATATGTTTGTTATGAATACCAATGCTAATGGGTGTTATTAAACCCGAAAGCATCCAAAATACACACAAATCCCGCGGTTTTATACCTCGACTATAGTTATAGTGATTCAGTAGTTGTGAGAAAATTATTATTTGTATTGTATTTGAAATCAAAAGTTCAGTTGCAGTACGATAGCCAACAAAATGAGATATTTCTCCGACTAATAAATAAAAGTTTTCACTTTTTTTGGAATTATAAATAAAATGATTTCTCGGATATAAAACAGTAAAATAAATGTGAAAACGTAATTCGGATTATGAAT